GTGATGAAAGTGTCACACTATTTTTTTATTTGCAATGTGGGATTTTGCTGTGCAGCACACTCTATGAGCTATTTTTTGTAAAACCTCATCTTGGGCTGTTGATCCGATATTATCTTGTTTTTGTATATAGCGACGTGAATTATTAAGGATATGAAATATTGTTTGCCTAAACCCAACCTTTTTTGTGGAAATGTGTCTACCGTAACCCTGTTCGTTTAATTGTTAAAAAGATGCAAAACACAGGTAAACAGCTCAATATGGCTGCACACAAACCCTCCATAAAATATATATATACAGCTGTGTATTTTCTTAACACGAGTGTCAAGAAAGAAGTCCGAAACACTGAATTAGTTTCTGCTTCAATGCCGTAGCAACTAAAATGCTGGCGTATATCTTTCCGCAACTCAAAATACAGCTAAGAAACAGGAATAAACTTCGGTCATGCTAAATACTTTGTGCACGTACTAATTTTCTCAACATGCATGAACTGTGATTGCACTCTGCTATCATATGGAACAAGAACAGTTCACTTTGTTCAGTGTACTTTATTGGTTCATGCCAGTAATCTTCGATAGGGAATCAGCAAGGTGAAAACGAGCCCGAACCAAGAAACGAGCAACACACCACTTAAAGCGCTTACCGCACTGCTTCAAGATTAAAATGTTCAACCAACTAGTAACAAATTCCTCTTATATACCACTCATCTGCTATATGTTTGCCATCCAGTTAGAATTTGGTAGAATTGCACTCGCGGAATCAACCCCTTCATGTTAAGATCGTTACTACCGTTAGCAGCATAATAGCAATTATGGACGTGGTGCTGTTGGGCCTGCACACTATGATGGAGCATGCCAGATTGAAGCGAGTGGTGAAACTAGAGCCGTTGCCTCCCTGTGAAAGCAGAAGAGGTCTGTGTTTTGGCAATGCCACCAGTGATGGCTGCTACTGCTGCCAGTAGTCATCAGAATCGTTAATTTTAAAACAAACAAAGGAATAAGGACATAGTTAGAATGTACAGAAGGAGGTCCTAAAGTCATAGACTAAAATGGGACCTCCTGGGCTCGTAAGGTGGCTATTGTACATGTTGCCCCATGATTCAATGTTGTTGTTAAGATGAGAATGAACAAAAGCATAATAAAGTGATATGAGAATAGAGAAGCAGAAACGCAATCGAGCTTTGATGAGAGTGCGTTTATCGTAAGCCATTCTTTTTTACACGTTAGAGACGTGTATATTAAATTTAAGGTAGTCATTAAGTTCCAGACCTAATATTGTACAATAGTTAGCTGCAGAGACAATGTTGATATGAGGAAAAGATGACAAATCTGGTCTTGTTATGGTTAATTTGCAAGTTGTTATTTTCACATAACGTACACATTTTCAAAAGATCTTCATTTCACTTATTTGTTAGTGTAGATATGCAGCGATTAGAAATATACATCGTCGTGTCATCATCATATAAAATACATTGAGATGAGAGGCAAATCATTAATATAAACTAACAACAGTGGGACACCTAATATGGCCTCCTGTGGTACACCAATGTTCGCAAATCTTCCTTTAGAATAAGAACCAGATACATCATTGGTTTGTTCTCCATCCTGTCAGTAAACGTGGATAAGGAGCAAAGGTGGACCTGTTATTTCAATAGCTTCGAGCTTCGCTAAATGAACGGGGTGATTTATAATGCCGAATGTTTTCAAAAGGTCTATAAACAGGGATGTTGCAAATTCACCACGATCAGTCGCTTTTTTGAGTAACCGGTAAGTGTTATAAAAGCTACATCCATTGAAAATCCGCAGCAAAAGCCATACTGATAGGGAGAAACAATATATAATTTATTTATGTAACTTGTGATTCATTTTCTATTATTTTTGTAATGTTATATGCCTGCTTGTGACACGCTCCCTGCAACACTCTGTGAAGAGTGATCACCATAAAGACACCATAGATAGGTGGCGCATCTTCACATGTATTTATGCCGTATAATTACTTCGCTCATTTTTGAGCTGCACTAATTCTTAAAACTTTTCACCGGAAAGTACTAGTCCTAATTAAAGGAACTATTTAAAGGAACAAAATAAATAAATCTATTTTTTGGTTCACTATAAGTACTACGGCTTCGTGGCATTAGCCACCACCCGATCTAAAGAGTACAGCCATATCAATTCATCCGTCCATCCATCCATCAATGCATGCAACGTTTATGTTGACCTAATGCCTTATCTACTTTGAATAAAGTAGGTAAGGCATTACTCCAACATAAAAAGAAAGATTCATTTTTTGTGTTTTTTTTTCTTGCGAGCCTGGTCGCACACATGACACCGTCCCGTTATAAAATGGACGCTCAGAGCATTCATCCAGACAAGGTTTTTGATCGGGCTCGTTGGTGAAGATTCCTAACAGCTCACAGCGCACTCAGAGACAGGGACGAAGAAGGGGCACACGAAGACCGCGCTTGTCTTCGTATGTCCCTTCCTCGTCCGCGTCCATGAGTGAGATAATATGACCACCTTAGGCGTCGGTTTTCAATGGCCTGCACACTCACCTCCTTGTGACTACGCCCGCTTCGTTCTCGTCACTTCGTAAGCATGGCAGCACGTGACAAGTTCCTACAATGAGTGTCACGCATGGGTGTCCTCCCAAGCACCCTCACATACCTGCTCTTAGCCCCGTTGTAGAACAACTGATAGCTCCACGTCTGCCATATATGACCGTTAGGCGTTTGACTCGCGGCAATGGCCAGAATGGTATAAAGGGGCAAGTGGTTAACGCGCAGATGGACGCGGCCAACACTGAGGTTGCGGCCGCGGGACGGGGCCGATAACGCTGCCTTTGAGTGTGCGCACCATGCGCCGGCTCGTTAACAAGCCTTCCTACAGAAATGGTATGGCCAGGAAACGCCCCATGCGCCTCCGAGCAATGTTCCCTAACATCATTCACTTTGTTAATATGTCAGTGATTTTTTATAGCGAATGCATTTCTTAGTCGGGCTATGTTGATTGATTGAGTGATTCTGGGAATGAGAAAAGAAGGCACTTAATTTCTGTCTGCATCTTGGGTTGCATGGCGCCATGCCTTGTAGAGAAAGGAGGAGTAGAATGAAAGAGGGTAGGGTGAGAGAAGTGTGTATATGTGTAGAAAGTCGAGGCGTGTTCTTCATGGCCGGAGCGGCCAAAAGGTGGCTTGGTACTTGGCCGCCAAGAAGCTCCCGGTCAGTCCGGCACGTCTGGTGTTGACCAGGATGAGAAGCGCTGCCTTGCTGTCACAAAGGACGGAAACAGGCTGCGTCGAGACGTCCTCCGCCAGAAGGCCGGCCGCCAGGTGGAGCCCGGCTATCTCTGCCACTGGCCGCGCTCCACCCGGCCAGCGGCAAGACAGAATTTGAAGAGCGATTGAGAAAAATGGGAGAGGAGCGTGTGGCTAAATATGTTTTCAGTTACTTGTACAGGAAGAATGTCGATACTAAATGGAAGAAACGAACTCGAAAATTGTCAAGCAAGTATTTAGACAACAGAGTAATACCAAGCCAAAAAGAAACATCCGTTAAGAAGAAGCTGAAGAAAACAGAGAGGGACATGTCGAAAATGGGAATGCTTACGAAATCATCCATGGACACTTACCCAACTTTTAAGCAGGAAATTGCAAGGGAAAATATCTACAATAATTCTCAGTGTAGTTCTCTGCTCTTCGAGGCTAGAACGGGAGTATTGCGGACCGAGACGTACCAAGCAAAATACGAAGGCACAGACACGGTATGCAGTGCGTGTGGAGAGGAGGAGGAAACGGCTGAACATTTGATAATGTTCTGTAAAGGACTCCACCCTAGAGTCGAAGATAAAGGCACAACGTTTTTCAAAGCATTTGGAGTAAAGGACAGTGAAGGCGAAATAGACTTTAAACGGGTTTAAATTACCAGGAGAGGCGAACTGATTGGTGGCTATAATCGAGGTGCGAGTTAAATTCAATCCTTCAACACACTGTGATAGTACTTAAGTTTATGGCTAGGAGCCGTGAGTCACCGCCCGCAATTTTAAATTTTGAGCACATTAACCAAACCCCGGATAAAATTGACCAGTGTTGTTATCTTACCGCATCTTAATTATTTTGTTATTTCTGGATAAGAGCTACAAGTGTTGTTTTGATTTTTTTCTTCTAGAGTCAGTGCTTAAAAACTAAGGTACTCGGCTGCTGACCCGCAGGTCGTGGGTTCAAATCCCGGCTGTGGAGGCTGCATTTCCGATGAAGGCGGAAATGTTGTAGGCCCATGTGCTCAGATTTGGGTGCACGTTAAAGAACCCCAGGTGGTCGAAATTTCCGGAGCCCTCCACTACGGCGTCTCTCATAATCAAATGGAGGTTTTGGGACGGTAAACCTCACATATCAATCATTCAGTATTTAAAAAGTTCATTAAGGAATCTTTGTTAATTACCGCGCTTGGTGGATCAAAAAATGTTCCGATGTGCTACATACAGCTGAAAAAATAGTGCACTAGCTGGAGACGCGAAGCACTAATTTTTAATTTTTTATTCTTTGGTGCTTCTTAGCTGAAACACCCTGTATACGGGGTGGCTAGTACGTTCTGCAGCGCAAGCAGTCGGTTTTTACTAGTAGACGCTGCCTGCACCTGTCTTGCGAGGCGAGAGAGTGAGGAAGTGACAGTTAATACAAGACGCAAGTATGTGGCACGAGGCGCGAGCATGCGCAGTGGACCTGCCACCACTGAGGCTGGATTCATGAAATGCTCCACATTTAAAATGACCAGTTGAGCGTCAAGCGCGTTGGTCCCCTTCACTGAATCCTTGTGTTTTGTGGACGCTGCAATTTCGCGACGAGCGCGAGCGAGTGGCCTGGCGACAGGTGAATGACTGTTCTTCATTTTATTACTACTGACGTCTCAGCCTCTCTGAGAAACTCTCAAGTTCTTATACCGACCAATCTGCCACGTCTTCAAAACAAAACTAAAGCGTTTGCGTTTAGTTGGCTTTAGCAGTGCGTACCTTGCTTTCCGAAGGTGTACTTGAAGGCCTGGCGCTCTTCGTTGCTGTAGGCGGCGTGCAGTTTGTCGATGGACTGCATGTCATTAATGGTCAAGGACAGCTCCGGCACACAGGGCAGCTGGAACGCTATGAAGTACCTGTGAAACAAAGTTTACGCTCGTTATTCGTTTTGCTGATTAATTCCCTCGAGACTCGTGATTTGATCTCTAAGTATACAGTCGCATCTTACGAAGGAGACCAGGAAGAAAAGCCATGGCTTATTGGACGCGGAGATTTCTCGCTGCAGTCTTACGCATTCGCAACAAAAAAGACAGTATTACTGCCCAAAAAATCAAGCAACATAAGTGATTTTTTTTTCGCCGCGGGTTGAACAAAGTGGTGGTAAAGGACATATCGCTAAAAGTTATGTTATAGCCATTGTATCCCACATAATAGGCGCACAACGTCTATATAGGATGAAAGTGGTGGTTGTTATGGTGCAACAAGCGTAGTTAAAATTACCCGCAATCGCTCTGCCTGAGCATCTCCTGAATTTCAAGGTTTCGTTACCAACTTGATTGATATGTCGGATTTAATGTCCAAGAACGACCATATGATTATGAGAGACGCCGTAGTGGAGGTGTCCGAAAATTTCGACCGCCAGGGGTTTCATTACCAACTATTAAACAGTCTCACAGAAATGTCATCACAATCTGTTGCACGCTCTTCCTCGTATCAAAACTTTAGTACGCCTCGGTAGTTCGGTACTCGCAATGTAAAAAAGAAGTTGTTGCCAAGATTGCGAAAAATTTAACATAAGTTTGTCCGGTTCACTTTTAGCGATTTTATAACATAAGAGTTGCCAACGTGACTTATCAAACTCAACGGCATCCATACACTAGAAACTAGTAGGATAGTTAGTCGGTTATCATTAACCAGAATATTCTTTCTGGCAAAGTTTGAATACTAGTGCCAACTGTGTGAAACAGCTGTCTTTTGGACAAACAACGCAAGACCTTAAATATTCATCGACTCCAGTTCTCGCTCCAACCACACCTTTTAAAATAACTTTTTTCCCGGGGCTTTTTCTCACTGTTTGCCAACAAGTTTTCTCATCTCCCAGTACACTGAAAAAAAAAATTGAAACTTACTTTTTTGTTTACTTCCGGTATGTGTATGTATCTGTAAGTCGTGCGATGGCAATCTCAGAGTGAAATATTTGTATACTTCTGCTGCGTATGAGTGTTTTTGTTCAGGTATTATGCACCCTAACACACTTCAAATGCACTATCACTTTTGTGACAAAGAACCGGAACATTGTATACCTTTTTTTTTTTGTTCCGCCTCGCTTGGTCTTAAAGTACCCCTGTAGAACTTGTAAGTAAAATAGTAATGAGGCGTATGTTGCACATTCGGGAATAATGCCACAGGATAGGCGACACACGTTAGCAGGCAGTATTTTACTATATACAGACATATCAGCGCAAAAAACACAGGAAACATTTAGAGAAGAAACACACACACAGCACTGTACTCACAACTGATTTACTGTTTCAAACGCAGGGCCTCTTTGTAGGCACGCATCGAAACAACAGAAAGATAACATGAAAAAAACGAGGCGATAAAAACCACGTGACAACTGCTTGCCAAAAAGACAAACAACCAAAGGCAACCATGCCGTCTGGAATTTCCACGCCAATAAGTACGCCCTAAATATGAAATGAAATGAAAGAAAATTTATGTACTTGATACCAAGACCAACCGGGCCGAACACGTTGAAGCCAGAGAAGCCTAGGCAGCCACACACGAAGGACAAACGAGATCTAAAACGTTAAAAACTAAACATAATTATAAGAACAGTGTAAGCACAGATTCAAATTAGTAAAAAAGGCTAGTGCTGTAGGTAGCGTATTTCTTTGTTTCTTTTTTTTTCTTTTCTTTCATTTGCTTTGATATTTGGGGCCTACCTTGTGGCGTGGGAATTTTATATAGACGGCTTGCTTGCCTTCGGTTCTTTGTCTTTTTGGCAAGCAGTTGTCACGTGGTTTTTATCACTTCGTTTCTTCATGTTATCTTTCTGTTGTTTCGATGCGTGCCTTAAAGATGCCCTGCATTTGAAATAGCAAATTAGTTGTGAGTACATCTGTGCGTGTGTTTCTTCACTAAATGTTTCGTCTTTTTCTTTCTTTGCGCTGATAAATCTGTCTAAATTATTCTTGAACCAACTCGCCCAAACAGCAGTTTTAGCGCAGTATAATATTATTGCAAAAATACACTCTTTTCAGAAAGAGAACGATACAGTGCCCCGCCGCGGTGGTCTAGTGGCTAAGGTACTCGGCTGCTGACCCGCAGGGCGTGGGTTCGAATCCCGGCTGCGGCGGCTGCATTTCCGATGGAGGCGGAAATGTTGTAGGCCCGTGTGCTCAGATTTGGGTGCACGTTAAAGAACCCCAGGTGGTCTAAATTTCCGGAGCCCTCCACTACGGCGTCGCTCATAATCATATAGTGGTTTTGGGACGTTAAACCCCACATATCAATCAATCAACAGTTACCATGTCTCCCATATTTCTCGAGTCGTCTGCCTCTGTAAATAACTTTAATATACTTTTGACATTTGTTTTCGCGGTAAAACTAATATCTTAACTTTTAAGTTCCAGAGCCACGTCATGATTATAACGCACGGCGTAGTGAAGCGCTACGGAAATTTTGACCATCTGGCATTCTTTATCGTGCACCAAACGCACACAGTACACGGGGCTTCGGCCATTCCGCCTCCTCCTCATTGTGACCGCCGCGTTTGGGATCAAATTCGCGACATTCTGGTGAGTAACCGAGCACCATAAACACTAATATAAGTAAGTTTGGAATACGCTGATTGGTCGGTTTGTGGCCTTCAACGTCACGATTTGACTCAGTAAATGAGAGATGCCATCGAAAAGGGCTTCGTTTGATTTCAAGCGACTATGGGGCTCAATATTTGCACTGGCACACATTCCACAGAACTTGGGCCCCTACCGTTTTGAAGCACGATGATTGCGGCAGGAGTCTAAATGGCGTCTTTCGGGTCAGGATAGTAGCCTCTCAGGGACGACGATTGGTGGTTGTGTGCGAAATTACGATGACTGGTACATGTAGCAATGTATGTTGCACCAATAAAGCTGATCTGCTTATGCCAAAAAATATTGTACACCATTTCTTACTGCTCACACTTTCTAGCAACATTGCGCGAGTGGATTTCCTTTAGTAAAACACATTTAAGCCAACAGTCTAAGTTTCAGCTGTACATCTCCATGATTATTAATGATCAGTAGTTCGTTAAATTTTTTTTTGAACTTGCAAACACAGATATTTCTGAGTGTGGAATTCCTGACTATATCGAACTTTTACAAACACGAAAGGAAGAAGTGAAAAATTTAGGGTTGTTTTTCGTCTACTTTTCTTTCCTCACATTTATGTTACATTTACTACTAATAATATCTCCTATGTTATCCTTGGCACTATTGTCTGATAGAGCACATTAGTAGAAGCGAGGGTTACTTTCTCGCAAACGTGGTGCTTTTAGGTAATATACGTGGAATTAATGGTCAGCTTCCAGCTCGTATTGATTTCACCTGCCATGTGCCACCAACAGGCAGAAGAGTGTTATACACTAACCATCGTGGGTCCTAGTGGTGCTTACTGACGCCACGCCACCATGTTTAGGTGCATATATATATATATATATATATATATATATATATATATATATATATATATATATATATATATATATATATATATATATATATATACTGTTAAGTGAACGAGGGAATGGCCGTCGGGGTACCTCAGTTTGTACAGCTTCGGGCACGAAGTTCACGGGCTTGGTGCATGCCTCCCGCAAATTATCTTTCTCTCCTCTGTTATTTCCTCACATATACATTACAGTTACTACTAATAGCAACACTCTGCTTTCCTTGGTATTATTGATCGTTAGATTTCATTACTAATAACAACAAGAATAGCACAAGCCATCTTGTCGATAGACACTTCAATGGCGTTATTTCATTATAATTAACTGTCAAGCTTCTTATTCGCATCCGGAAGCTTGTATAGAAGTCAGTGAGCAAAAGAGTATTTCATGCGACCGGAACTATATCGTAATATTTTGAAAAAATATCCGTAATCATAAATGGCTATGACAGACAGCCGCGTAACTAGTTTTTTTTTCTATTACGTTCAGCTTCATAATGTGGTGATAAATAACCAATAGAACACATCGTGCGAACACTTAAAATCAAGCCCTTTATGCTTTCTTTCGACGCACGATTCATCTGTCTTTTTTTTTTCATTAACCCACTTGTCGCAAATGCTATGAAAAATTTCAGATCCCTTAGGCCAAGGCTGTAGCAATTATATCTAAGCTAAGATAAATCAGTGCTATGGGGGCCACATTACTTGTTGCACGCTGAAAGAATTACATACATCACGCTTTTTTTTACTTCTTATTGATTCAAATGAGCATACATATTGTTTTAAGACTGAGCAGAAAGGTGGGTCATAAAATGAATCTCCAGAAAATGAAAGAATTGTACAACAACCTCGGAAAAGAGCAGCGCTTCGAGATAGGTAATAGTGCACTTCAAGTTGTAAAAGACTATGTCTACTTAGGGCAGGTAATAACCGTGGAGCCGAACCACGAGATTGAAGTGACTAGAAGAATAAGAATGGGGTGGAGCACATTTGGCAAGCACACTCAAATTATGACAGGTAGATTGCCACTATCCCTCAAGAGGAAGGTATATAACAGCGGTATCTTGCCGGTGCTTAGCTACGGAGCAGAAACCTGGAGACTTACAAAGAGGGCTCAGCTTAAATTGAGGACGACGCAGCGAGCAATGGAAAGAAAAATGGTAGGTGTAACCTGAAGAAACAAGAAGAGAGCAGAGTGGATTAGGGAATAAATGGGGGTTAAGGATATCATAGATGAAATCATGAAGAATAAATGGACATGGGCCGGGCATGTAGCGCGTAGATAGACAGGATAACCGCTGGTCGTTCAGGGTAACTAACTGGATTCCCACAGAAGGCAAAGCTGGTTAGGGGGACACAGAAGGTTGGGTGGGCCGATGAGATTAAGAAGTTTGCGGGTATAAATTGGCAGCAGCAAGCACAGGAC